TCTGGCTTCTTTACTTTTCATTCCATCCAGGAAGAGCACATACCAACTGCTGAAACGTCCTCAGCCTGATGAAGGGTTTTTGAACCTGAAAGCTTGCTTAATAATTGTTTTCCAACTATTTAAGTTGGTCTAATAAAAGATATCAGATTCACGCAAAGAACCTTGTCTGCCTATGTCCTTAGACCAACACGGCTACAACCTACACCCATGTATAATTTGTTACATTTGTCCCTGGATTGCACGAGGGAACAGCAGAACTGTAGGCAGAGTACTGCTCTCTGAATAAACAAGCTTTATCGTTTTATAAACTTAACTCCTTGGTCTCTTGAGAATAACACACAAACCATGCATCACAACCCAGATGTGCTCAATTTTCTGCTACCCATGTAAATGTTCTTAGGCTTGACTCCATGGAATGAAAATTTAAAAAAAAGAGAAAACAATTTATTGAATTCCCCTTGCTTAGTTTTAGTTTTAAATAAACCATTTAGCTACACAGGTATACATCATAAAATATACGCAGCCCAAAGAAGCCATCATTTTAATATGTATGTATTGTGCTGGCAAGGGTCCATATTTTTCAGTCTTCACTAATTGTGTATGTCTCAGGATTTGGCTGCCCATTTTGTGCCTGAGTTTCAGAGAGTCAGAGGACTTAGTTCCTAGTGACTGCACCAAGGCAAGTAAGTGGGGGGGAACTAGGATGCTGAAACAGGGGGTGCAGATAAGATGGTGTGATACATCATCACAAACACAACACATTTTTCTCCAGTTGAAAAGAAACTAGAGACTTTACTAATGTACCTAAGGCTATATTATTCTGTTTTAAATTGAAGCAAAAACAAATATAGCTTTATTGGAATGTGCATTAATTTTTATATCATATACATGGTATTAAAACACCTCACAAGAAACTAGGAAAAAATAATCCAAAGATGTTGTTTCATTAGTTCTGTACCCATTAGTGTCACGGTAGGGCTCCATGACCGTGCCTGCTCCACCCTGCGGGCACCTTCTAATCTCTTCTGCCACATCTTGTTGGTTGAAATAAGGTGGGAGGTTGCCCACGAGTTTGTGTGGTCATGGTCCTGTTGAACCCCACTAGATCCTGCTTATCTTGGATCCCTTGCTGGGTCTCACTCAGTACCTCTCGAGACACCCTAAGTCTCACGGCTAGATGTGTGGCTCCAACCCATGTCCCACGCCTCACAGGTGGTATTCAAATGCTGTCCCTCTGAGGCCTTGATCTAGCTCAGCCTCCTGTCATCACTGGGCCCTTGGCCCCTGTCTATGCGCCTTCACTGGTGCTGAGTTCTCCGCAGCCCTGGCCATGTGACCTCACTGGTGCTGGGGTGTCCACACAGTAGTCTGCCCCCAATGAGGCCTTTCCCTCCCCAGTAGCCTCAGCCCAGTCCACCCGATTCAACTAACAATGTAAATACAAGCCCCTGGGCTATAACATAACAACAACAATAACATTAGAGGTCACACACTGCCCCTTTAAGGAGGCAAGCTTCTCCCTCAACAATGTTTGCCTCCTAGCCCCAGATACTTTAGAAGCTCCTAGAGCCTATTAGTTTTATCAGCAGCAGAATAGGCAACCAAGCATCTCCAAGTGGCATTTCTGCAAGAGCTCCTTCCTCCTGGCTGCTGACAGAGAACTAACCTCCTCCCAGCCCTAGCCCTGGGGCTTATATATGCCCAGGTCCCTGTTTCCTTCAGGTCAGCTGAGCGGGTGCAGGTGCCAGCTAATACCCTGATTAACTTACTGCCAAGGCAACCTGAAGCTGTGGAGCCCTGCCGAGCTCTCAGGGCTCCCTAGCTAAGCTGCCTCCGCTCTTGAAGGAGCAGGCACACCTTAGTGCTCTACGACAATTAGAATAAAAGTATATCTCGTTTTCAGCTTCATACAACAAAGTCTAGCCTTCTTGAGCACCTTGACAGCGCTCTTTGGTGATTCACTGAAAGGTATTTCCACCCGAGTCAATGTTCACCTGAGTTAACATTTCTGCATAATGTTTTTAGCTAAAGTTAAAAACAGTCTGCAGAGTTGTGAAATAGGAGCTAGATTATCAGGAGCAGCTAACAGAGAGCAGAATTGCAGGAGAAAGGATAGTTTCAGTAATGGAACATCAAGACCATTAAAAAGGGGACAGGGCCATTAATACCTGTGGAGTGAAGGGTTTAGAAGGAATCAGGTAGATTTATACTGAGCCATGAAGTCAAGTGACTCCATCCCTGCTGTCTGACTAGAAATACTGCTGCCACTGCTATGTAGTTGGTTTTAAACTTTCGGTGAACCTGGAATCAAAGTGGAGTACAACTGCACCACTGCACCCTCTCTGGATCTGTCCCTCAGTGAGTACAAATGTCTCGTAATTCCAAAGAAGGCAATAGAATTATTCAGGTTTTACATTAGTATCACAGATCAGGAGAGGAAGGAGGCTCTAGCAATTAGGACACTACAGTACAACTCAGCCTCCTGGGGCATTTTTACACAGAGCACCAGGCGCTTTTCAAACTGCGCCACTTACAGTTGTGTAAGCAGTGAAATGCATGTCAGCTCCGAGAAAATGGCGGCGGCACACTTTTGAACTAAAACACCTTGGAGGTGTTTTAGTTTAAAAGCATGTTGCCGCCATTTTCTGCGCACTAACATGCATTTCACTGCTTATACAACTGCACGCAGTGCAGTTTGCCTCAGCTCATGTGCGGAGCAGACTCAATTAATTGAGTCTGCTCAAAAGCAGTGGGTCTCTGGCATGTCACTGGAAAAAAAGCATGTATAAATGCTCCGGGTTTCAATTCCCTGCTCTAGCGTGACCCTGGACAAGTCTCTTGGGCCAGGATCTTTTTTCTAAGTATTTAGGTGCCAAATCTCCACTGATATGAATGTGACATGGATACCTCAATATTTTTAAAAAATGGGGCATTAGCATGTTAATGCCTTAGCTTTCTACTTTACAAGTACAGTGCAAAAATAAATACACTAAAAATATTTAGAGATTCTCATGCCTGCATCCTTCAAGACACTTAAGCACCTAGTTCCTGAAATCCCTTTCAAGGACTTGAGCTTCAAATACTATGGTGATGAGATCATACTAATGCCATAATTAGAGCTGAACTTCTCTCAGTAAGTTCAAACAGGCTGTTATTCCTGAAAAAAATCACTTCCCATAATAAAAAAAAATATTAAGACTATATAAACAGTAAGGCATGCTTTTCACTGTAGTAAATAAACAGTTCATTGGATTTGTTAAGCACTTCTTAATCCAAAACGCTGTAGACTAAAGTTTTTGATCAGGTAAAATGCCAACTGATCACAATAGGAACTAAAGACTCCTGACACATCTGAAAATCAGGCGCAAGGAGCCTTGCATTGCAGACACAGTTTTAAGACAACGTAACTGTCTTTGAACCACTGAAACAAGTATTTTCTGTGTAGGCTGAGGATTGGGCATTTACAGTTCCTTTTTTAATCTACATTCTGCTAAAATCAGGCTAATCTATATTTGAAGAGAAGTGAAGTCCATCCTACCTGGTATCCTATTGAGTGTCACCCAAAAATGTTCATCTGGACTGTAGGTATCTCTGGACCAAGCAAGCAAGTCAGTAGCACGTTGATCTTTGAGAACAAATGTGGTAAATTTCCTTGTCAAAGCAATATAAGCAGAGCCAAAGTAGATGGTTAGATTGTAGGGTGGCAGCATTTTCAACCTTTGGGTGTTTATCATATATGATGAGTCACTTCCTATGTGTTCCCTGTGGATGTATTTGGTCCTTCCAATAACATGAATGGGAGGCAATCCTCCAGGGGTGATGTTTTTCCCTTTAAATCCTTTCAGGTACTGAACTATTTCTTTGTTTGTCTTTAAGGGGAAATCTTGCCCACACACATTGAGAACATATTTCCACTGCACCCTTGATTCCAGGAGGTCTTTCATGCAGTTCAGATCAGCCTGAAGTCGAGATACGCCAGCATAAACCACTAGCTCCATTTGGGAAGCAAGAAAAGCGTTAGGGAAACAGCTCACTAACTTCTCCACATCTTGCTTAAACTGAGCTGGTGCCTTCTTATCCACATGGATGCAGTACACATTTTGGGGCATATAAATAGCCCTGAAGAGTCTCTCAAACGTATCAAATTCTTTATGTAGAGTCATAACGTAAGCTAATGGAAATACAGCTTCCTCTGCAGAGAGCGAGCTTGTTATATAGTGATTCTGAATAAAATATTCTTCGCAAGCAAATCTCCAGACAGATGATGATAATGATGAGCCTGATATTTTCCATAGAGAAGATGCCTTTCCTTCTACAATTCCATTGCACACCTTTGCTAAGGCAGAACTGTTTGTTACATTGAGCCTGTGAAGGCTGTTTTGCTCTTTTAAATTAAGAAGATAAAATCTAAGAAAGCCTGCAATGCTAAGAACCAGAACGACATAAAGAAAGCGCAAGTATAAATTCATGCTCTTAAAAAAAAATCCCTGTCTTTCAAAGATATATAACAAAGGCAGAATAATGCTGTCTGTCAGCCTGGATTTCCTTCTTGGTTAAATCCTAATCATATTCAGCTGTGTTTGTTTTTTTCTGCCAAGAAACAAGTCAGCAGTATTTATGGTCTGTTTCACAGTCTATTGATTCCTTCTGTCCTTCTTGTTCTCTTCTTCATCAATTTCTCCCCTTTTGCCTCTCCCCGAGTTCCAGTTGCAAGTTAATTCACTCACGGTCTCTCTCTGTTGCTGTAATAGAATGATATTTCCTTACATCCTCCCCGCCTGCATTTTCTTGAACTTCTCATCATATTGTGACATGCTCTTCTGGGAAGCCGGGTTCATTTGAATAAGAAAGCTTGCTTTACCATTTCCTGTGAAGGACTTTCACTACATTATATAAAGCATTCATGCGTGCATGCGTGTGTGTGTGTGTGTGTGTGTGTGTGTGTG